AATTGCCTTTGCTTAACAAGGTTAACACTTAAATGGTCCTGACTGGCTTTGAAGTTCACTTTCGAATTTAAACTCCAAACCAAAGAATGTCCTTCCAAGGTACTAGACTCTTGACATAAAATTTAATAAGTAAGATCTTGCAAACAAAAAAATTAATCACAGTAGCACTACAAACACATATGACGGCTAAGACAGTACTGTAATGGAGTAAGCTCATTAAGGGATATAGCAAAAGATCTACTGATGCTTCTTAGTAGTATTTAGCAAACTTTTTTCTTTTAAGAAATTATGCTTCAGAAGATGCATTTTATTTCAAATATTTCTTTTTTGGTATAAATTTATCAGTGATTATATTGTTTAAATTGCCCTGAGTATATGAATAATGATAAATATATTTTCTCTTTTTCAGATTACTTTGAAGAAGAGCCGAGGCTAGAAAATCAAGAACTCTCTAATCCTACTTGCTCTTATGCACTTTTATTAATTTCAGTTATTGTAGACAAACTCCTTGGATACTGTAAATATACATAATTTTGTTGGTGTAGCTATACCAAATGCAGCTTACCTATTATGGATCTGATTCTTTTTTAATGAAAAATTTTGAATCTTATGTGACCCTGTTTATACAAGATATCCCATGAGGTTAAAAAAAAAAAATTGCAGTGACAATTTTTATTAATTTGCTGCTATTCTATGTATAAATTTTCTGAAGTGCCTGATTTCTTTCACTGACAAATTAGAATCATAGGATCATCGGGTCCAGCCCCCTGCATGAGCAGGAAAGACATCTGAGGTCAGGTGACCCCAGCCAGGTGTCTGTCCAGTCTTGTCTTGGAAGACCTCTAGGGTATATGATTGCAACACCTCTTGGGGGAGGTTGTTCCATAGTCTGGACACCTTAATTGTGAAGAAGAAATTGAGGGGGCGAGGGAAGATGATATAATTTCCATTCTGTTTTTTACTGTAGTTCCATGCCTCATCAGAATTTGTTCCCTTCCTATTATTTTAAGCTTGAGAGTCCTATTAAGGAGGACTATACAATGAATTCTAGCTCAAATTGAATCCGGTATACATTCTATTTTATGGCAAAGCTCTTGAAACATAAACAACTGGAAACTTTCTCTTATATTTTTGGAGATCAGATACAGAGCTCCCTCCCACTCTCCCTATATTCATGCTCTAACTTTTCCCAGGGTGCTGCATTTGGTAAGTTGGTGGTTTGGTCTTAATTCAGTTCCCTATGGACAGGTGCACATCATAAAAACAACTGGAATAATTGCCATTCTAGAAATTAGATGCACTAGGGTAGCAAGGATACTTGTATGCTTTATTCTCCAGAGATTGTCCTATTCCTTGGTTGAATCTGTGTGCACAGGCATGTATTCTATTTCCATAATATGTGCAATTTCAATTTCAAGTGTTTTTAATCTGGTACCTTTTAAAAGTTTAAAAAAATAGACTTGTATCTCACTGTTTAGTATAATAACACTTTTTGTGGTTTATGTAACACTAGTTAACAATGCTTTCTGTGTGTATATTAGTTAACTGTTTTACTGAAAGAATAAAATGAAGGATTGTTGTACAATGATCAGTTTTGAGCTGCCTAATTCAACTGGTACGTTAATGAGAGTTGAAGTATTCCAAGGAAAGCAAACAGGAAATGTATCAAATAAAAACATTGTGATCTATATAGTTTAAGAAAACTGCAACGTCAAAATTTAAATATAAATGAGTTACTGTATTTTTAAAATTCTGCCACCTATTACAATATGGCAAAATAACCCCTCTTTAGGATTGTGTATTGAATTTAAATGCACAGAAAAAAGAGAGATTAATTATCTTGGTCCTAGATATGTCGTCTTCTTCTCTAATCCCTTGGCTCTGTTCAGTGTGCTTTTATGGTTGCCAGTGCTGGTCACCAGTGTTCCCTCTAAGCTGTGTGGCCACGCAGGCGCACTCATGCTGCACTGCCAGGCCCGCCTGCGTGCGGCCATGCAGCTTAAGGGTAACGCTGCTGGTCACCTTGGTTGACCCTCTCTCAATCCTCTTTGGACCTGAGAAGGGAAGAGAGCAGAGTACATCCCCTGTAGCATGTAGCTCAATAAATGTCTTCAGGATTCTTGGATTTAATAACCTGAGCTTTTGGGGTAAAAGCCCCTAGATCAGGGTTCCCAAAGTTTTTATGCTGCAGCCTTGCAAACCATGGCCTAGAAGTGACTGTGGCCTGGCAAACCACAGCCCAGCAGTCACAGCCAACCCTGGACAGATTTTCCAGCTGGAAGACACGTAAAGATACTGCCACCTCCCAAGTGGGGTCTGGGCCAAAACCTGCTCTGCTGCAGGCCCTGCGAAAGCAGCCATAGCCTCTCCGCCCGGCTCTGGAGGGCCACGGTTTGCTGGTCTGCGGCCACTTCTGGTCTGGCAACCAACCCTCTGCGGCCTGGCACTGGGCTGTCGCCCGGGGATTGAGAATCCCTGCACTAGATAGTTCTTAAAAGGCTGAAGGGAAAGTACTGGTGCTGGATATTCCTATCTTTTGTTCCCCTGCTTACTCTCTGATTGGAAACATTGTGGAGAGTTCCCTTTTAAAGAAGGAAATTTACCTACCTTTAATCCTTTCTTGAAGGTATCTTTAAAAAAAAAAAAAAAAAAAAAGTCTTGAGCCAGCCACCTGCCCTTAATTGTTTGGAAGGATATTTCAGAGTGGCTATTTTGTTTATCTCTTAGAATATATTTTGGTCATTTTATCCTTTTAATTGGCTCTTCTGGGAGTTCTCTTGTCCTGTGTAATTCAGGAAGTTACTGGAAGCCGGGAAGCTGCTAAGTTACATGGAACATATTGTAAGTGAGTTTAGTCAAACAGCGTCATATAGAATTTTCATGAATTGGCTGTGGTTGCAAGCCAGCAGTAATCTAAAGGTATCTAGAATGAAGCAGTCATTTTATTTTTTTAAAAACATCTAGGCAACTCCAAACAACTGTAATTTTAACCTTGTCTTAATATTATTTTAGATATTCAAAAGTAGGAAATGCTTATAGTTATTCCTGTAATCTTAACTCTTCCTGCAGCACTCTTGTGGTAAAAATGTAATTAATGTGGCACATTTAGATGCTTTGTATTATTTGAGAGAGTACGTTCTGCAGCTTCATGTATATCAAATGTCTTGTCTGCTTGATTGATAGTCCTTGAACATTTTCATACTACTGCATATTCTAAAGTAGTAGTCACAAATCTCCAGCTGGAATCGGCTTTTGAATTTGTCAATCACTTTCTTATTTGTCCCTAAGGATTATTATCATGCTTACCTTTATCCCTCCTAGCCAAGTAGAAGCATTAGAAGTGCACGGGATAAGGCAGAGCCCTGGATCATGTCTGCTTTTTTCATTCTGGAGCAGTGACACAAGAGCAAAAAAAGAAAATGTCTTTCCCTTCCTCTGACATGGGCTGAGCAACAGAAGAGGATTTACAGAGCTTGTCTTTCCACCCCCTCCCCCTCAGTTCATCAGCTGATGGTATCAAAGGGTGTATCACTTATATGTCAGGGACCCTGCCTACTGTCAGGGGTTTTTTTTGTTTTATATTTTTTGGTCTGTGGATTGCTGTACTAGATCATTATACAATTACTATCAATTAAAAACCTTTTAGTACCTGTAGTAAATTCTAGGAAGTTAGAATTTCAGGCACTTGTAAACCTACTAAATATATGAATACTGTTATATGTGTGTGAATATATGAATAAAGTGCAGGCAGTCCTTGGACTTATGACACAATTGGTTCCTGAAAACGGCATCTTAAATCGAAAAGTTGCAACTCAGAACCCATTTTCCCATAGGAAACTATTATAAATGGGGGATTCGTTCCTGAACCAAGGCCTGATACCCTGTTTTCACCAAAAGTAACCCAGAATTTTGTACTCGATCAATTATAGATGAGTAATATAGCTACATTAATGTATTTATATTGTAAATAGCAATCATTCATTTGAAAGGACTTCTCTGAGGTGACTTTGCTGGGCTTTTTGAAGGGCTTTTGGCTGGATTCTTCTCAGGAGTGTTGGCTACAGGTTTTTCTGGAGTCTTGTCTGCTTTCTTAAAGAAAATGTCCAAGGAAGTTTGGACAGATGTTCTCCAGGGAGTTGGGTGACAGTGACTTGTTCACTGTCATGGCGTCACATCAGATCAAGCATTGTAAAGTCGAAATTGATGTCAGAAAGTTGCAACAGGGTGTCAGTTTAGAAACGTGAGTGCAAAACACTAAGTTGAAGACAGCCTGTATGACATTGCTAAGTGATTACTTTCCCATTCTAAACTTCTATTTACTCACTTCTATGCCTTACTCTTGGATTTAAAACCCACAGATAGTGAACTTAATGGATGCAGAGAGCTCTGGTGAGCTCCATGTATTTCCTTGCTTTAATAAGAGTCAGAGCAGAGCCTTAATTACATACTTTTAGACTAAAATGCTTATTCTGTTTCACAACCAGTTTCTCACTAGAGTGTGGGGACTACTATTGTAGGGAGAAATACTTAAGAAATGTGCAGAAAATGAAACTTTCTTAAACGTGAAAGTTCTTTTTCTAACCATAAGGTGGGGATAGAGTAAAAATTGTCTAGTGTATTTTTATTTCCCCTTAAGCAATCTCCTATTATAAGGAAATATTCTGTTTATTTGTACTAAAATTGTAGTGAATGTTGTGACACTTCCAGGGTTTTGAAGCTTACCAAGTTTGCATTGCTGACAGATACAGGGCAATTAAGGTTTAACAAAAATCCTTGTTCACATAAAATAAATGCTAGAGTCTTGTTGATCAGGACTGGGAGGGGGAGAAAGAACTAAATACGAAGCCTTGACAACATCTTGAATAGGTTCCTTTTTTCAGGCTCAGTTCTGTCTTTAATATTGTATATTCTGAATTATTCAGCAGAAGATCAGCAATTTGCACACCATGGGTACCTTTTATAAAATTTGAAATGCTCTATGGAGAGTTGTTAACTTGTGTAGATTATAATAGTTAACCTTTCTACTACTAATTGAAGCAGCTATTGAAACACGTTTTCTTGTTAGCGCTTATCAGTAATTTTTCAGTAATGTGGGATGATAAGATTGATAGCAGTTCTGTATGGAAAGCACTGTATCTAAGGGTTTTTTTCTGTTTTACGTGAGGCAAGTATTATAAACAAAAATATAAAGCCTGTTGTTTGACATTTAAAATTGAAATACTATCAGACTGATGAAACAATGAATTAGTATCAGACTTAACAATATTTTCATATATTGAATTGTAACATGGGCTCTTCTGAGTGCATGTGGAGCAGTTGCCCTGGCCTAATTAAGGCCTGAAGGATTGCCATAATTTTTTTTTGGTGTGTGAATAACTGCCTCAAAACTGGATAATCAGAAGAGGCAGGCCTGAAAAAACATCAGTTTAAGTGCTGAAGGTTTATACTCTGCTGAATCAGAACTATTTGTTGCTTCTAAAAATGCTTAACAGCCTTGATGACCTAACACAGCCTGAATTTACAGATGTATTCTGTCAGAGTTCATCTAGTTACTATTTAATGAACATGATGAAGGTACATCAGTTTTTCTGTACAGCCCACATTCATGAAATTCACATGGGGTTTGATACCGTATATTCTCCTCTGTGGTGGGATAT